CAATAATGGGCTTATGAGCCGCATAGCTATGGAACAGACACAGCTCTCCTCCATTGACTCCGTTGGTTTGTTGCTTGACCAGGCAAAAGCGTACAATAGTGTACATCCTTAATATCTCAAGCGAGCTTTGGAACGATTTTGCTTTCCTGGTATCATTGTCCACTGTATTTCCAAACTTTTCTTCTCTATTGACGTATCTGTTAATGACAATGCATTTATTTCACCTTCTATAGAGCAACAACAGGGACTTTTCTAAGAAGATCCATTGTCACTCTTCCATCTCGCCTTTGAGCCCTTGCCCTGATGATTGATCCATGGCACTTCGTTTTATGGATCATGTATCTACATTGACGCTTTTGACAACTCTACACCACCACCTGTTAAAATACTAGCCCACTCTGATGATTTCTTGGTTTTTCTTCACATTCTTGCAGTTTTTTTTTATTATATACCAACACTTGGACGCATACTCTCGGGCCTCTCATGCACAAACAAACCTACGTAAGATACAGGCCTTTTCGTTATCTGGTGCCTCATCAACCAAATCGCAAACTCTTCTCCAGACAAGTCTATTACTGCATGACATTATCGCACTTCACGATCTGTCCTGGCATACCTAGCGTCTCCTTTAATCTTGTTTCTAGCTTAACGAGACTAGTTCTATTAGTCACTCATGCAATTTGTTGAATCTGCATGTCATATTTACTCACAGCCCTCACTATTACTACTTGGTCGTTCCACATTTCTTATCACACTGATTCTCTCTCGCATGCAGCGTGTTCTTCATGTCACTATTGCTCATATCAAGTTCTTTGATAAACTTGGGTCTATTATGCGTCAGTTCCTTCACCAGAAAATTTTACCCATGGCTAGTCTAGCCTCTCTCTGTTTTCCTTGGACACAAGACGAATTGGGTATATTAAATCCTCAATTCCAAATTCCAACAAAAAGTCTTTACCAAGCGATGGTTAAAGCCCTCTATATATCCACCAGCGTGTTGCTCCTTTTTCACTCCACGGATACAACACAGTCTTCATCCTGCCCAAACACACGGCGATATTCGACCACCTTTGTTGTTTCCACGTCTGCGACACCATCATTTTTTGTTCTGTCCACAATGAAGCCCATTCCGCGCAACTTCTCTTTTGTCACTGTTGGCTACTTTATTTTTGTGATCCTTCTGGACGTACTACAACAAGTTGGCGGAGGATTTTAGCGTCTGATACGTTTATATATGATGAAGAGTTAGAGGCCGTCCGTCCTCGATCACCCAACGAAAGGAATTCATCTCCATACCTCATTTCCAAACTGTTTTGCTATTTTTCTACTGAAAGAGCCACCCTTATCCCCCCTTTAACATCCCTCTCTCTACTTGCCCACAAAACCACTGGCTTTCACCTGTTCTTTATTTGTTGCTGCTCTTAATCCAAAATATGCCCTATTTAGTACTCTTGGTACCCATAGTTTTTGTGCTATATGCCGCAACCCATTCAAAGCTCTACTTGCTTCTTTGCCACTCACCCCACGACAATGGTGCACCTTTTGGTCATTTCCTATCCCTCACTCATCTGATAATATATGGTATCGAACTATCCTCAATACCCTCTCATTCCAAATCACCCTCTACCACCATGCATCTGCACTATTTGACACTGTAGTATACACACCGCAATTGAGTGAAGTGCATACTCGACGACCAAACACTGGTTACCTCTTGCTGATGAACCTGACAAGTTAACAATCTCCGGAGCTGTTACACACCAGGCACACGTACACTACACACTCGAACAGTGCAAACCAACCATTACACAACAGGGTTTTGATTTACATGGATTTTAATAGTATCAAATATAAGTAATATTACTCTGACTCGCTTTAATAAACAAAGCTTTCAAAACATCTACTTTTTCCTATATTGAGATACTAGCTCAATAATAATCCCGAATACCTCAGTGTACCTCAGTGTGTGTATACGAAAAACTGCATAATTTATTTTAAATAGCCGTACGGTAAAATCTGGCGGATTAATCAATAAACAGCACCGACAAAAAAAAAAGGAAACTATCAATAGTGCTTTTGAGAAATGATATATTAATATTAGATAATTAGTAAATCTCAGCTATATACTCTTTATAGATTAAAATCTAAACTCTTAATCAGTTTACGTGAATGGAATAAGAATTTTTACAAATGGTTTATGTGTATGCACCTTGAACCTTGAACCTGAATAAACTTATTCGAAGGAGTATTCAAGCAATCATGATTGTTTTTATCTTGATTTTGGGAACTTGAGACGGCGGGTGTATTTGGTGACCATCGCCATTTGGAAGAGAAAAGCAGCGACATTAGGAGATTGAAACTTGTAGAACGAGGGAGAAAAATAAAAAGTAATAGTAGTTGGCTGTAAAGAGGTCAGTAATCCGACTCTAGACACTATACAGCTCGAAAGCTCTTCCTAATAATAAAGTCTCTTACTATTTACTTTGCCCCCACTCAAGTACTCTGTTCAAAACACGTGTATTCAAAATTGCAAATGATTGGCTCATGTCAAAATAAAAAAAAAAGAACGCGTCTCAAATTGTGTGGCCCAAATATTATAACGCGTTTTAAAAAAAGAAACACTCTCACGGTATTATTTTTCTTCTTTGCGCTTTTTCATTAGTTTACTCCAATGTACAGCAACACCAGCAGCAGCAGCAGCAGCATCAGCACCCAGAAAAAAGTGTCGTCCAACGGCTCACTTGTGTTTGGCCCAAAGGCCATTCACAAGCATGTCCCAAAGCTGTTGAGACACACAATTCTGGTTAGATTAGCCAAAACTAATCTAGCCAAAGTTTTTGATCGAAAGATCAAAAAAGTGAAAATGATTGGTAAGTCATGTCTCTATATAATAGTAGATAAACAATATAATATTAATCAATAATATACCTATAGCACCAGACCTGCCCAAGGGGCTTAAGCGACGATTGGAGAAAGAAAATGAGCTGGAGCACAAAGCTCCAGCTCATTTTATCAAGCAAAAGAAAATGAGAATTGAAGAAGCAGGAATAAGAAGAAGAGACATTGATGCAAAAGAAGCAGAAAGAAGAAGAAGAGCAGAAAGAAGATATGTAGAAAGAGTAAGAAGAGCAGAAAGAAGAAGAAGACAAGCAGAAAGAGACGAAAGAAGAAGAGAAGAAGAAAGAAGAAGAGAAGAAGAGAGAAGAAGAGATGAAGAAGATGGTGATTATGAAGATGATGAAGAGGATGATGAAGATGAAGAAGATGATGATGATGATGAAGAAGAAGAAGAAGAAGACGAAGAAGAAGAAGAAGAAGAAGAAGAAGAAGAAGAAGAAGAAGAAGAAGAAGAAGAAGAAGAAGAAGACGAAGTAGTAGTGAAGGAAGAAGAAGAAGACGAAGACGAAGTAGTAGTGAAGGAAGAAGAAGAAGAAGACGAAGTAGTAGTGAAGGAAGAAGAAGAAGTAGAAGTGAAGGAAGAAGAAGAAGAAGAAGAAGAAGAAGAAGAAGTAGAAGTGAAGGAAGAAGAAGAAGAAGAAGAAGAAGTAGAAGTGAAGGAAGAAGAAGAAGAAGAAGAAGAAGAAGAAGAAGAAGTGAAGGAAGAAGAAGAAGAAGAAGAAGAAATAGAAGGAGAAGAAGGAGAAGAAGAAGAAGAAGAAGAAATAGTAGTAAAAGAAGAAGAATTAGAAGATGAAGAATATGAAGAATATGAAGAATATGAAAAGTATCATATTGATACATTTGCATATGTTAAAGAATATGACGAAGATTATGAAGAAGAAGAAGAAGTAGAAGTGAAGGAAGAAGAAGAAGAAGAAGAAGAAGATGAAGATTATGAAGAAGAAGAAGAAGTAGAAGTAAAGGAAGAAGAAGAAGAATATGAAGAAAATGAAGAAGACGAATATCACGCTTATCATTATAGTACTTATGAATATCGTAAAGATTATGATGAAGATTATGAAGAAGAAGAAGAAGTAGAAGTAAAGGAAGAAGAAGTAGAATATGAAGAAGATGAAGATTATGAAGAAGAAGAAGAAGTAGAAGTAAAGGAAGAAGAAGTAGAAGTAAAGGAAGAAGAAGTAGAAGTAAAGGAAGAAGAAGTAGAATATGAAGAAAATGAAGAGTATGAAGAAGAAGAATATAGTGAAGATGACGATGATTATGAAGATGCCGAAGAATAAGAAGAAGAGTTGGCAACAGGAAGCAACAGAAGCAACATACTAACATACTAACAAGCAACAGATACTAACAAGCAACGGGAACTAACAAGCAACGGGAACTAACCTTACTCACAACTAACTACAAACAATTAACTTTTTGAACAACTAACATTATGAACAACTAAAATTACTAACAACTAACTTTACTAGCAAAATCCGGATCAGAGTCATAGCTAGAGTTAGAATTAGAGTCATAGCTAGAGTTATAATTAGAGTTATAGCTAGTGTTAGAATTAGAGTCATAGCTAGAGTTATAATTAGAGTCATAGCTAGAGTTATAATTAGAGTCATAGCTAGAGTTAGAATTAGAGTCATAGCTAGAGTTAAAATTAGAGTCATAGCTAGAGTTAGAATAAGAGTTATAGCTAGAGTTAGAATAAGAGTTGTAGCTAGAGTTAGAATTAGTTATAAGCATAGCCAAAAAAAATCAACTCTTATATATTTTAACCAAAATGTGTTATTATATATATTAGGAGCTTTGCTCCCCCTCCCCTCGGGGGAAGGGGTCATTGGCCTATGAAGTTTTATATAACTTTTCTCTACTGTCAATTGTGTACGGCACACAATTACCAAGTAGTATAGGCTTCATATTTTATTTTATTGAGAAACAAGTAAGTTAGATAATACGTGACAAAATTTATAAGTTGTATGACATGATATCTAACTTCATCCTGTTTTTTCTAATTAGACTAGGAGCTTTGCTCCCCCCTTCCTCTCAGAGGGTGACCCCATTGGCCTATGTTAAGTTCTATATGACTTTTTCTTACTGTTAATTGTGTGCCGTACACAATTACCAAGTAGTATAGGCCTTATATTTTATTTTATTGAGAAACAAGTAAGTTGAAGAATACGTGACGAAAGTTATAAGTTGTATGACATGATCTCTAACTTCATCCTGTTTTTTTCTAATTAGACTAGGAGCTTTGCTCCCCCCTCCTCTCAGAGGGTGACCCCATTGGCCTATGTTAAGTTCTATATGACTTTCCCCTACTGTTAATTGTGTGCCGTACACAATTACCAAGTATTATAGGCCTTATATTTTATTTTAATGAGAAACAAGTAAGTTAGAGAATACGTGACGGAAATTATAAGCTGTATGACATGATCTCTAACTTCATCCTGTTTTTTCTAATCAGATAAAATAAAATGAACTGCTGGGAGCATGGCTTTTAGCTAAAAGTCTAAATACGGGATAAAAGTCGAGATAAAAGCAACTGCTGGAGATGCTATTATATTATATTGCTTATTTTTCTTTATCATTATTATTATTATTATTATTATTATTATTATTATTATTATTATTATTATTATTATTATTGCAAAAGCAAAAAAAAAAACCCTAAAAAAGTCTGAGGGTACCCGGAGCCCAGAGACATGTGAAGATTGTACAAAAGAATCCATGTACATCCGACAATCATTTGAGATTAGCATGAAAGAATGTTATTGTTTGTAAAGCGAACAGTAATAGACTTTTTTCCTCTCTCTCTCTCTCTCTCTCTTAAGTAATTCGGTGGT